ATGGAAAACATAGAGATGAAAGTTTTTGGCCATTTTTTTTCTGCTGTTGTTGGAAAGTAAAATTTTTTTCTTGCATTTTGAAAAAAAATGCTTTATTTGTCAGTCACAGTAAAGTGAATGGCAGCAAAATATTTCTGCCGTTACTTCGTCTATCGTTACAACAGACAGTTACAGCAGTAAGTAGGTACGATTTTTTGGGAGGGGGAGGGGGAAGTGGAGGCAAACAAGCGCAGAGTACCTTTGGTCATCTAAGTGAAGAGATATTGATAATTTTGATGTCAATAGTTGTGGATTGGGAAGTAGACGAAATTTAAGACTACGGAAAGGCTACATTTTTACTTTTTTTTAATAAGTGTTTTTAGGCTAATGTTGGACAATTTTCTAATATAAAGGCTCTGTAAAGTCGATGAAGAGTATCTTCTTTTTTTTCAGATCCAATGAGTTGGATGCTCGCTCAGTTGCATCGCTGAGAAGTGGTTCAAGCAGTTCTGGTGGACAGGAAAGTGCTAGTCCAAGGTAAATCCTATTTTCTGTTTCTGTTTCTGACGAAAAAAAAATAAGTATAAAGACCGTTGTACTTTGTTAATATTTATTTGCTGAAGCAGTTAAAAAAGTTTACATTTTGTGTGTGTTTATATCTGTGTGTTTTTGTGTGTGTGTGTCTAATTGTATTAAAAATTGTTTTACGTATGTTTATATATTCGTATGTGTGTGTGTGTTTAGTTTTGAGATAAAGTATTAAACATGAAAACTAACATTAAAGGTCAAGCAAATCGAGACAAAATAGTGTTCAACCAGATGATGATGAAGACTTGGATTTATGGGCCGTATGGGGAGATTTGATCAAAAATTGGGAGATCGAAAGTCGTCGTAGACCAAATTATATTAAAGTAAAAACTTTTAATAACAGATTGGCACTTTTTTTTCTGTGCTCTTACCTCTTTAATATCCATAGAAATTTTTTACTGTTTTTTTTCTCTATTGCCATGTGTTATTCTCATCTGTTTTCATTTTGTTACATATAGTTGTCGTCATATGTATCCAACGGCAACAAATATGGAATTATTTATTTTGTTCGGTTAATGGCAGTGTCTTCTTAGTGTTATGAAGTTTTACGACAGTTTTAGAATATAGATGTGAACAAGAAAAAAAAAGACAGCTTCTTAAACATTTTAGCTTTCAGACGAATACCAGAAAAAAGAAGAAGGATAAAAAAAAACGGAGGAAAACTTGAAGATAAATAAAAGATGAAAAAAAAAATTGGGATATCAATTGTTATTTATGTTATTTTCTGCATATTTGTTTATTGTTTGCTGTAGTTTTTTTTTTTTGTTTTTGCACCAATATTTTTTTTTCAAAG